ACTGACTTGAGACATTCCTGAACAGTTTTGCAGCTATTGATATTGTCATGAACAGCTGATCCTTACAGTAATTACAGTGGGCATTTAACTGAAGGGGGCCAGGCACCCGTCCTTGTAAGCACGTTGTGTGGCCTCAGAAAGTGGCTGCTTCCACTTTTCCTTGCACTGAAAATTAGGCTGGGGCATTCTATTCAGTATTGTCAAAAGGAACAATATTTACTCTTTTGCAGTGTTTTTCAGCCAATATGCACGATGTTAAAGTGCAAAGGCAGCCCAGATATGCATGGGCATGGGGCACTGTGTGTGGTAGTATTGTGCTATTTGTAGTTTTCATCCTAGGTTTAGGTAGGCAGAGCTAGAGCAACTGCCCCCACTTCCATGATTCTCTGTGTAGTTTTTTTAACTGTATTTAAGGACAAAGGAAGAAGCTCGGAAGGACTAAACTTTTTGACTTTTGTGGTTTATCCAGAAACTTCACTAGCCACGCAGTTTTAAGTAGGTTCTTGAGAGTTAAGAAGATTAAAAAATTGGTACATGTTACTGACAACAAGAAAAGGATATGGGACTTTATTGTAAAGATGACATGCTCTTTTGGGTGACTGAAGTAAAGAAAAAATTCAATTAAGTTATTGCAAATCCAAAAATGGAGAAGGTAATTGAGTCTTTAAAAAGATCTATGTTGAAGTCTCAGTCTCTAGGAAGCAGGTATTCTTAAGACATCCAAAAGAAACTAAAGCAGCTTGAAAAGTAGGCTTCAGTTTTACTATTAGATATGAGCAGTGGAAGATTAAAAGCAAGATAAAAGACATGCGGATTACACTGGAGGAAGAGAGAGGGTACCTTAAGAAAAAATTTCTTATGTTAGAGGCAAGAAAGGAAAAATGTCATCTTTAAGGGACAGATAGACAGATACACAATAGAGTAACTTCAAAAGCTAGTAGAGAAGTTTTTCTAAAAGGTAGTGGAATATGGGGAATGTGTTAGATGTTACTAGATCAGAACAATAATTAAGATCCACTGAAGTCAAATCTAACAGAGGACGGGAAGCAAAGTCTCTAAATGAACTGGAATAACTCACTTATAAGAAGCCAGGATTCAAATACCATGGAGAGTGCCCCCTTTGCGATGCAGACAGACTTTCTAATTGGAACTACCTATTCAAGGTTGACGCTGTCATTCAAAGTGCCCATAGAACTTTCGGACAGATTTGAAAGGGAACCCAGAAACACTGGTGTAAAATACTCAAAGAATTACTGGGTGAGTTTCAAGTTGACACAGGTATCATGCCTATGCCCTGAGTAAACACCATCTTCTAAATATGCATCAGCATTATCTTCCCTGTTGTTGTCTATAGAGATGTATTTTGTATTGCATGGATCTGCATCATGACTGAGATTGTTTTCAATCAAATTCATTATTTTAGGCATCTTTTTTCAATATAAAACAATTTGTAGGATTAATTGCAAAGAAATCACAAGGAAAAAAATTCACATCATTAGGGACCATATGTCTGATAGCTCTAAGGATTCTAGACTAAACATAAACCAAGATATATCTGGAAAGTATTATGCCACTCCAAATGTGATCGTTGGGTAATTTTATCATAATAACGAACACCTGATAAGTGTCGTGTCACTTTTCCCAAAGTGCATTCCATGGAACAACTAGTTCTTAGATGTTGTTAGAATTTAAATACCCCTGCCTCTCCTCTGCCCAAAAAACTCCCATTAAAACGTTCTAAACCCTTTTTAAGTGAAATAGGACCCAAATTTCTTTATAGCAAGTAACTAAAAATACTGCCAAATGAATCACAAATACACTTTGCTTTAGAGATATCACTCAGAGCACCTCGCATGCTCAGCATCTCCTTCTAAAGGCACCCACAGTTCATAACAGGGCAAGCAGCTGATCCCTCTATGATGATGGCTGTACCATAGGACCAGCCTCTCAGCTATCGCTGATTAGATCAAGGAAGGCAACTGACTTAAGGATCAACCAATCAGTCCACAAGCCGGCCTGTGACTTATGATGATGTGGCTTGCAAATTACACAGCCACTCTGATTCTCCCTCTTGGGTCTCTGAAGCAGCATAAATGGAGTTAATTGACCAGCTGGTAATAGGAGGAGCAAAAAACAAGACTAACTGAATCATGTTACTAGCAGAGTACTAGAGTTCCAACTCACAACTTCCTGTTACTACAGAGGAACGCGGATTCTGATCAACCATCAAGCTGCAGTCTTTGCAGCCTCTCATGAGAACCAAACGTTCAGTTCTTCCTGTAACCCATGTGGCCTGATTACACAGATGACATTCCTGTTTCCCTTTCTACTTCATGTAGTTTTAGAATAAATTCCTCATTTGTCAAAATCACCAAATGAGTCTCTTTCTTGAAACCAAAAGAGCACCCCTCCCCATTCTCCCTGTAATCAGATTCATACTTACGTGGCCATGTCCCAGATGAGTGTTTTTCTGAGATGCATAACACCAAAGCACAACTTTACAGGCATATCTTCCAAAGTCACACACACTTTCTACTTCCTTTTTTTTTAAAATTCTTACATGAGTTAATAAGATATTATTATAGATAATCTTAAAACTTCTCTAATTCATATTTTTAAAAAGCCGGTTATGTGCAATCTTCTATTATTTGTAACATTTGTAGCATTTCTCACGAATAATTTTGGTCCACTTCTCAAGGCAGAGCGGTTGAAAGACACTGTCCTAAAAAGTATGTAGGGTAGTGGACATAAATTATAACACTGGATGTCAATCAACAGTTTTTTGTTGGTAAATACACAAAAGCTGCATAATAGCATGTTGTGCTCTGGATCTGAGATCTGTTGGAAGCTTCCATTATCGCGGCTCAGCCCTACATGTGCATATGATGAAAGAACCCCTTCCTAACACCAGAGGGCATTATGCCAGCCGGGTACCTCCCTGAGAGGCTCCCACACCAGCAACTGATTTTTACAGCTGCTTCTACATTCCTGCACCACATTCAATCTTTCAGAAGAGCCTTCTGCTTTTTCATTTTGCCATTCTCAGGCCAGGACTGGTTCTGAGCTCAAATGAGAACAAGGGGTTAAGAGAAGCTGCTAGAGACCAAGCTGCATAGCAGTAAGAACAATCTGTAATTGTTAGCCTATATTGTTCTACCTCTAGCAAATTCAGTAATCTTGATCTTTCTGGGATTCATTATCCTCATTTAAGATTAAGATACTATTCAGGCAAACATGTCTAATGAGCATAATTAAATTGTTTTACATTAGAAGGTAAGACTAGATCCTGTTGATTCTCATTCTAATTTAAATATGGGAAATCAGATTGGTCTACTTAAGTCTACTAAAATTGTGTGTAACTCCTGAACTTCTTGTGGAGAACACCCACCAAGTACTACCAATACTCTACTCTCATTATAAATCTTCTTCTAGATCTAATTAGTATAGGGGTTTTGGCTTCTTTCATAATACAAATTAAGAGGTAATTTTTCAAGCAAGATTTGTTTCAACGCTCATTAATTCCCTCAACATTTATCCAACAGCAACTGTGTACCAGGCTTGTATCTGCTAGAATCTGGCAAAAATACACAAGTTGTGCTTCCGTGACATTTTCGATCTAGGAGACAATAAAATAAATTTTTAAAATTGTGAAATTGAACTGAAAGGTGCTACTAAGAGAGCTACATGAAGCTACCAGCAGATATAACAGGGAGACTTGCTCCACCCAGTAAGTGGTCAAGAAACGTTTTCCTTAAGAAAGCGATTCTTAAAATCAGACGAGTAAGTTGGTGTTAAATCCGCAAAAAGCGTGTGGAGGCGTGCAGAGGTGAAGATGGCGAGAACAATTTCCACACGACAAAAAATAAATCTCGGGGAGAAGACTTGAGGGGGGGAAAAAAGGTCACTGGTTAGAGTTCAGTGTATAGTTTCGGGGGGGCGCGGGGGGGGAAGCCGAGGAAACTGGGCCTTCAAAGCCATAACTATTTCCATTCTACGAGCACTGAAGAGTTTTAGGCAGGAAGTTGCTGTGATCATCTTTGTATTTGAAAAGTCTATCCTGGTGCCATATGAAAACTGAGCGGAGAAAGCCGGGTTAGAAGGCTGTTGTTCTTCGTGGAAGGATGACCCTGAAAGTGGCGAGTTGTCGACGACTGATGCTTAGAAAGTAAAGTCCATAAAACTTAGTGATGGACTACAGTAACTGTAAACGACCTCAGCGCACTTCTGATTTCAAACCAGGAACTGTTTTAAATTGGCTGGTAAAATAAATGAAAATAGGCTCATTCGATTCCAAACACTGATAGCTCTCTGTGAGAACTCGTGGGGTCAGCGTGCTTATTTCCCCATGTGAAAGTTTCACTGTATTTTCACGGGCCCTGTGGAAACGCTCTCTGATGCATTAGAGATTGCCGGTGGCATGGAAGAAGCAATGCCGGAGGAAAGGTGCTTGTCCCCGTCACCAAGGCCCGGGTCTTGGAAAGCCTGCTTTGCCACGAAGGCTCGATTCACTGCTAGAGACTGAGGACCCTGGGAAGTTCCCAGACCTCTGCAGTCACGCCAGGTCAGACAGGGCTAAAGCCGCAGGAAACTCGCCCCTCTTTCGGGGTATTCTTCCCAGAGCGAGGGACGATACTCAGGTCGCCCGGGACTTCCCGGACGCTCAGACCAAGCCCCCCTCCTCATCCGCTACGGTGGCCGGAAAGGCCCTGGACTAATAGACACAGTCAGCCTGGAAGGAGGCGCACGCGCATTGAAGACTTCTAAACTATAACGAGGGTCCAGTCCAGAGCCCGCAGGGAGTGCCAGTTTAGCTTCGGCAGTTTCTTCTCCTGGCTCGCCGCGCCCAGATTTCCTAGAAGTGCGCTGTCACCCAACAAGTTTTTCCATTGGTTTAGAGACGGGAGGGCCCGCCTTCCCCCATTGTCGATTGGCTGCCCGTTCTCCTGCCCTTAGGAGGCGGGGTTTGGGCGCTTTCAGATTGCATCAGCTGGTCCTTTACAGGCCGCGTGGCGCAAGCGCAGTGCTTCCGGGTACCGCAGGCCGCCTCTGATCGGCCTCCGCTCTCCTCTCCTCTCCTCCCGACTGTCGCTTTTGGGTTCCGTGTCCTTTTCGTGGTTCGTCGATGTCCGAGGAGAAGGCCAGCAGCCCTTCAGGGAAGATGGGAGGCGAGGAGAAGCCGGTGAGCGGACTCTGTGGGACCTGGAGGCCGGGCTGGGGCTTTCCTTAGTGCCCAAGTTGCCCGACCCGGGGTGGGAAGGAGGATGCGGCCGGGCCATGTGGGGCGGAGGAACTCGAGGGGGACGATGGCGTTCGGGACAAGTCAGAACCCCCTTGGGCGAGGAATAATCCATTCATTAAGCAGGGCGGGGCCTTGCAGGTCCTCCAGGGGTCCTTCCTCTCTTTGCAGAGGAGGAAACTGAGACCTTGAGTGACTTGCTCAGAGCCACACATCTAATTAGAAGCCTAGAGAGAATTAGATTCTAGGACTCCGGACTTCCACCTAGTGTTTTTGACTCACCTGAGGAGGAAAGAACATTGCAGAGCCTTATTTACTCCTAAAACCCTGTGGGGTAAAGGGTTCCAGTTTAAGGAAGGGAAAACCGAGGCCCGGAGATCTGATCCAACTTGCCCAAGATTGGGTGGTTTATAATGAATGATGGAGCCCGGATGACCCCAGCTGAGAAACTCTAGAGAAGTTACACACCTCCGCCGCCCGGTGCTGGAGGCATCCCTCATCACGCATTACCCATGCTGATCGTTTCAACTTTGAACTTTCCCTTTGGTGGCATCCGTCGCTTAGGAACATGTCCCAGGTAACTTGTACGCCACCAGGTCGAGTTTCTTAATAATCAACAAATGTCAAGTAGTCCTTTTGCCGGGCACTGTGTTGGGCCATGCAACTGGGAAGATGAATGGGACCCAGTGCGTGACCTTGAGGGCCTCACAGCCTGGTGTGTGAGAAACAGGAAAGTTCAGTGAGGTCAACCCTGTGGGATTACAGAAGAGGGAGTGCCGGCCTCTACTTTGGAGGACTCGCTTGAATTGAGTTTGAAAGAATGACTGTAAATTCACCAGGTAAACCGGCCAGCGCAGGACTTCCGCGGAAGGCGGGTGAAAAGGCACACCCTGAGTAAATTTTCCGTCGGGTTGCTTGCAAGAGATATGCCTGAGTGGGAAGCTGCAGAGATCAGAAGGATTTTAGACAACCAGCGATTGTGTTTGAAATTTGAAATTGTATTCTACACGTGACAGTTTTTAAGCAGGGATGTGATCCATGTGAATTTTAGTTGTAAGGATCACTCTGCCATTAGGGTGGAAGGTGCGTTGGAAAGAGGCCACAAGCAGTAGGCTGTTGTAATAGTCCAAATGAGAAGCGATGAGGTCCTCAGGTAAAGCAGTGTCAGCCGTAACTCTCTGATAGGACACATCGCTTAAAAGCCACCACAATCTTCTCATCAGTAAAATGAGGATGTCCTCTTTGAATGGGAAGCATGCATATGTGCACATTCTGAACTATATAAATTAAATATATGTGTGATAAATGGTGCCTATCTATTGACTTGTTTCGTCTGTATTTTTTCACTTAAACATGATATTTTTACTGTTTTGTCTCTTGTTTACCTTTTTTGCTTAATGGTCTATAGTCAGTCGTCCATGTCCGTAAATATTCTGCTATGCCATTCTAAATTGAAGGTCATGTATGGCTAACAAATATATGATTTCTCCCATCTATAATAATAATTACAAAATACCTAGTGTTTCCTGAGTGCTAACTACGGCTCTGGCATGCATTATGCATCACGTGCGTTAACTCATTCAGTCCTCAAAATATCTATGAACTGGGTTCTGCTATTAGCCCCGTCGTACAGATGAGGAAACAGGCATAGGAACAGTAAGTAACTTGCTCAGACCTGATATTCTGTAGCCAATATTCATGACCCCAGTGCTGCCCTGCCTTCCGTCATCCTCCTGGGAACGAGTCAGGGACAGATACTCTATCAAGCTTTTAGACTCTGAGGACATACCTGTCCCAGCCGTCAGCTTCTGGGACTGAATTTACTTCATCTCCACCCTGCAGATACTTTTCTTTCAACTCCTAAGTATCGCTGAGGAAAGTAATTCTGTAGCTTCACAATCCAGTTCTGTGTCCCACCTTTTGGGTTGAAATTTTAGATTGCTTTTATGTGAATATATAATACATAAACTCTCACATTTTTTATTCTGTTTTCATTGGAAAGAGAAAACAGTTGCTAACTATCTTCCCAATTGTAATTAAGACAGAATGGGTCTCAGGGTTCCAGGAGACCTGTTTTAATGTCACACCTCTACAATTTACTAGCTGTGTACAATTGGGCAATTTACCCTCTTTGAGCCAGTATTGTCATTGGTAAAAGGGAGAGCGATTTAGAGCTTGGAAGAACCTTTGTGTTAATTCTCTCCTTCTTTTCCACTATTCCTATTCATTTGGGAGATATCCATATGACTGAAACCGAAAACATTTAATAAGACAACTAAAATTATTTCATGCTTTTTTCATTTTAAATCTGCACAGACAGCCCTGCAATTAGTTTTTGCTCCTCCTCTTACCCAATATACTTGAGTAGTTACATCAGTTTTATGGTAGAGCAAAGGCCTATAGGGAATCTCATAACTCTGTTGGGTAGTACTTTACTTGATTAGAATGGACTTAAGCTATGTTCATAATTCATCTATAAACTAACATAAACCTTAAATTTTATTAAATCCAGAATCCCGGAGAGTAAGGGAAGTTTTAGCCAGCATGAAATAAGAAGTCATATTTTTTTATTGTTTTTTAAAATTATACAAGTAATTTTTTTATAAGATTGGAAAGAACAACCAAAATATCCAAATGGTAAATGAATAATTAAACAATGGAATATTATTTGGCAATGCAAACAAATGAGGTACTGATACATGTAACATGGGTGATTGAAATCATTGTGCCAAGTGAAAGAAGCCAGTCACAAAAGACCACATATGGTATGCTTCCATTTATATGAAATGCCCAGAATAGGCAAATTATAGAGACAAAGTAGATTAGTGGTTGCCAGGTGCTGGGGAGAAGGGGGAAATGGAGTGACTGCTAATTGGTACAGGGTTTCCTTTTTGGGTTATGAAAATGTTCTAAAATTGATTGAGGTGATAGTTTCACGACTGTGAATACACTAGAAACCACTGGATTGTATACTTTAAACAGGTGAATTCTATGGTATAGGAAAATATCTCAATAAAACTGTTAGCAAAAAATCAAAGATCACAAGTATATAAAAACTCTAATAAAGTCTCCCCCCTTCATATCCCCAGTTCTACCCTCAAAAGGCCTTAACTACTGATGATCTCCTCCTTCCTTAGAGTTGACCACTGTCACCCCCTGGATGGGTATCTTTCCTGCCACTTATATGTTGTGTGCACCTAGAAAAATCAGCTAATTGTTTCCAATTTAATCTTATCTGCAAAATGGGAAGAAAAATAACAGCTGTCTCACAGGGTTGCTGTGAGGCTCCGATGTGGTGGTTTGTGGATGAACTTTGTAAGTTGTAAAGCCTTTTGTAGTGCAGTTTGCATTAGGATGTCTCTGAGCAGTCACAGTGAAGTAAGTAATACATTTCTGAGAAAATACTCTTCACAGTATCCCGTAATGTAGTTCAGGGTTTCTCAACTGAACCCCTGTTGACTCTGTGGACTGGATAATTCTCTGTTGTGGGAGGCCGTCCTGTGCATTGTTGGATGTTTAGCAACATCCCTGGCCTTAACCTACTGTATGCCTATTGCATCCCCCAATTGTGACAGCCAAAAATGTCTCCAGACATTGTCAGATGTCCACTGCGGGGCAAAATTGCTTCTGGTCGGGAACCAGTGGTGTAGACCTTCTCCGCTGTTTGCTGCCCCTTTGCGCAGGACTTACTACTTTAAGGCTTTCTATGACTTCATGTACTTCTAATTGAAGTCCACATTCTCTATAGTAATTTTTAGTTCTTGCTTCTTTCTGAGCCCTAGTCTATCTTAACTGACATTGCTTCCTGAAACAATCGTCTGCGTTAGTCAGCCTGGTTTAGTTGTTCTCTCTCTTTCTCGTCATTTTTTTCCTAACATTTCTGACAATGAGTTTGTGTGTACACCCAGAACACATTTCCTCCTTTCTCAAAATCTAGCCTGTTGAAATCTCCTTTAAAACCCTGACACTTACTGTTGTCCTAGCTTCTTTGACATCTAATCCTAGTGCTGCGGCTGTGTACTTTTCTCCTCCAAGAGTTTCTCACGCATGTCTGCGTTAGTTTCCCCGGAGAGACTAAGTTTGCACATGGTAGGGACTGGGTCTTATGTTTGCTTTTTCCACAGGGTTTAACAAAATACTGTGAGCTCAGAGACCCTTGGTACTACTTGTGGAATGGATGGGTATACATTGCATTAGATTCTTTTTTTTTCTGGAAATACTGTTACTGAATAAATTGCGTGCTTCTTCATGGCTTTATGCTTAGTATATTTCCAAGTAAACCTGAAGCAAGAGTCACTGGAACGGGTGAAATAAATGAAATTTGAGGACTTGAACATTATCAAGTAACTCCTACTTTTTTTAGGACTTGTTTTTATTGTAAGTTGTTAACTTGTCTTTGACAGCAGTGAAATTTTCTAGTCTTTCAAAATCAGATTTCCACTTTTTAAAAAATAGGTATTAAAATAACATCCTCAGAACTTTTGGGGGCACCCTGAAGGGGTGTCACATTAGATTAAAATGTAAAACTTTCATTTCTTTTTTGCTTATTTAGGTATGTGCTGGTGAGGAGAAGCGGAAGGAAGGAGGCAAGAAGAGCAAAGAAGGATCTGGAGATGGAGGTCGAGCAGAGGTAAATGTTTCAGGGCTATTATCAAAGATTGACAGGTGGCAGGGAACTGTCTCAGGTTTACCCTGTGGAAGATTCTGGTTTACATGAGGTAAGATGACACTAGATGGACAAATCAGGGAGAAGAATTAGCACAGGAAAGGCTGAGAGGAGAAAAAAGACTTGCACTTATGTGTTATTGAAAAAGGAAAACTGGAGTAGAATTGTGAGAGCATCTGCGGGATTAGATGTGAAAATCAGAGAACAAGCAGAAAAGGGTCTGTGGTCATTACTGAGTTGCCAGAGTGGGTGCTAGCTTTCTGATCACTTCATCCGATGAGAGGTTAAGAGAGAGAAACTTGGTGTTTGCACTTATGCTGAATACAACAGAAACCAAAGAAAGCCCAGATCCTTGACCCTGTGCACACTGTTTCCACCTGGACCTGCCTCTAGGGTTTGGTTTTAAGCCAGGACAAATCTCAAGGCCTCTCAAGTAGAGAGAAAATGCTTTCAGTTCCCCGGGCTCACGTGAAAAGGGACTGGCATTCTGAAAGGCATCCCGGAGTCGACTTGGTTGCTGGGCATTCTGCTTTAGGATGCAGTTAAGCTTGTCTTCCGACTTTATTTTTGATGTTAAACTGCTGTGACTGTTTCATTGCAACAGTTTTATTGGAGACTCTTTAGAAAGCTACCAGAATGCAAAAGAACAAAGGGACAGGCTTTTAAGAAGTGTACTGTAGCACAATAAACTAGCTTTAAAGAGCTGTTTTTATAAATTCTGCGTTGCTAAATTGATAGTGCTTCCATTTACTTATGGATAAGTTGTGGGTGATAAAGAATCACTAAGTGTTTCTTAGAGCCCTGTCTAACCATTTGTCTTATATTTTGTCCCTTGTACCCCACTGTAATTGTGGGGAAAATTGTTGCATGTGAATTTTAAAATTTGCAAGTAAAGAGAAAAATGTTCTTTAATTTCTTTTTTATACTTTCAATACAATAGTACATGCTGTTCTATCACAGCTTGAGAATTAGCCTGGATATAGGAAGCAAAGGGTACGATTAGAGGACTTGTCTGAATAGAGAACTGTAAGTGCCGCCTGTGATGATATGTGTTTTAAATAATCTGTCTGGAGAAAAGTGTACAGTGAGACGTCCAAGACTTTTCCTCTTCCTCCTCTGTGCTCCCATCATGTATATGCTTGTCTTGTCTCAAGGGCAGCCTGCAGGTCTTATTCCTCTCTGCATCCCCAGGGCTCCCCACAGACAGTGTCTGCTCAGTGAATGTTGAATAAGTTAAGTTGGACACTTAGTTATTCTAATTGGAAGTGCCAAGTGGATCTGGAGATCAACTACAGTAAGATACAGAGGATCATGTGGATGGCCAGGCCTGTACTGATGCTTCCAAGTAGGTAGGACCAGGTACTGTTCTTCGGCTTGAGGGCTTCAGAGTGTGGTTGTAGAATGACAGGCTCTGAGCTTTATTTAATGCGTTGGTGCTTTACCATGGAGGGTCATGGACCTCTGTGATAATTTAACGAAAAGCTCCTAAAGGTCACCTAAATGACTGGCAAAGAGAAGGACTGCTGTAGGAGGGGATTATGAAGAGATTAGGGCTTTTCCATCTCAAAAGATGAAGACTGAGAAAAATATGATTGAAATGAGAAGGGAATTTTGTATAAGGGAAAAAAGGTACTACTTTGCTTAAGATAAACTTAATTGTTCTAAGAAGTTATATTCAAACAGGCTGAAAATAGATTTTTTAAATGTTGTGGCTAGTTTTTTTTGTTTTTTTTTACTATGATGTTTAGGGAAATGTTAACCTCTGAGGTTGACATACTGGGTAACCGTGACCACCGGGAACTACAGTCCCCGAGCTGGATGGACAGTGAGTCCATATAGTATGTGTTATGTTGATATATATTATATGTAGAATTTTGTGTAGCATTATCAAACTTGAATAAGTGCTAAAGCATGTATTATAATTGTTATTATAGCTGATTAATTTAAATCCATATAAAGATAGAAACTCATGGTAAAATTAAGCCTTCTCCTTGCTTTTGTATGCAGCTAATATCCATGTTATTTTCATTTGAAGATCATAAATTATGTAGATGGTAGTGTTTTGACTATTTTGTGACCACAGATTCACCACCTGCTTTTTGAAATGTTTTAAAGACTGGAGTCTCTGACAGTCGAGGAAATCAGATCTTTGATTACTGTCTCTTTTTTTCTTCCTTTGCCAGACTTTTGGGAACCTGAGTGGGTGTTTTATATAAAATATTTTGGTTAATAGTATCCACTACAGACAGTAGTGTTGTGTTGTTTTCTTATATTTGCTGATTAAATACTCTGAAGAATGATGGTGATCATGGCCTGTTTGAATTCAGTAATACTTACCTCGAATGGGAGCCCTTAAGTCAAATAAGTTTATATTTGGTTAGTTCAGAATTGTGAGTGGACAAATAGTCTGACCAACTGCACAGACCATCCATTGAACAAGTTGAAACAAAATGGAAAAGCCAGCTAGTTTTTATTTCTAGTACTGTTTATAGCTGTACTTATAAGATCATTTAGTTAGAAAAGACTTGGAGAGAACATCTTAAAAGAAAAAAAATTACCTTATGCAAATAATAGCAAAATGGTAGAAATTGTTCATTTAGGATGTTGACAGACCAAATATTTATGGTTATTTATATACTTTTCTATTTTTTTTTAATTTTTTAAAGAAAAAATTATAGGAAGAGAGCTTTTAATTCCTTTTTTTACCTTCATTTAGGACAAGATTAAGGTAATGCTTGGTGATTTTGGCACTCTATTTGCCACGTTGAATTAGTAATCATTGTTTTTGTATTGTCTATATTTATTATTTCTTTTCCATTTCTAACAAGGAAAGCAAGTATTTACAGATTATTTGTTTCCTCATTTGTTGTCTTGCAGTTGAATCCTTGGCCTGAATATATTAACACGCGTCTTGAGATGTATAATAAACTAAAAGCAGAGCATGATTCCATTCTGGCAGAAAAGGCAGAGAAAGATAGCAAGCCAATTAAAGTCACTCTGCCCGATGGTAAACAGGTCGATGCAGAATCCTGGAAAACTACAGCATATCAAATTGCTTGTGGAATTAGGTATAAGCTACACCTGTCTTGACCTTCTATTGTTGTAACTAATATATTGTTGCCAAGTTTTATCCTTATAATATTTTTATGTTACTGTTTAATGTTTTCATGTTTAATTTACATTATTTGGGATTTTTAAAAATCAAAACGTTGTGGAGCTTTATAGTTAAGATTCAAAGTTAATTTCTGAGAGTCCGCTTTGGTCTTATCTTATGAAGAATTTTATATTATTAGTTCTACTTTGATTATAAATGTCACAAAACCAAGTAGACAGTGTTTCACCTGTTTTGACTTGTGTCTCAATTTTGAAGTTAAAAATGAGGGTAGATCATCTCACATGGGAAAGTTAAGAAACTAATTTATGATACATGAAAAAAATGTACTATTTTTATAACTCCAAAGAAGGACCATGTCTAAGCTTAAAAGTAAAAACTTTTAGTTGGGAAGAAGTAACTGAGAATTAGATGCATACTTTGTAATAGAGTAAATGCTTTCTTAATCTGATATGATTGACATCAGTAGTTGGTCAGTTTATCAGAAAATGATAATGTTGGGGAAGGACAAATTGACGCATATATTTTATACCTGGTGTTGGCAAACTGTGGTCATAGCCTGTTTTTGTACAGCCCAAGGGCTAAGAATAGTTCTTAAATGGTTTAAAAAAAATAAGACAACTAGGAAGAATATGCTATAGACACCATGTGTGTTCCAGAGTCCAAAATATTTATATGTCCCTTTACAAAAAAGTTTGCCAACCTCTGTCTTAAACTTTTTAATTTAAAACGTGTAAATATATATTTATTCATTAATTAGATAGATATAGATAGATAGGGCCAAAGGTTTTGGGGTGGAGTGCTGATTAGAGTTTTATATTTTCTTAACATACTTGAGAAGCGAATCTCAGTGCAGGATCCTTCTAGATTTTTTTATGGTTATTTCATCCACATCCAACTTGACAAGATTTTTTTTTTTAGTGATTTGCCTTTATGGAGCCTTACCAAACATTCAACTTGGTTTTCATAGCAACCATAATTCCCTTGTTGTAATAGTATTAATTGTTATTTATACTATTTAATTATATGTTGAAATCACCATATGACTGTCAAAAATGGTTATCATAAATTTCATGTTGCTGAACCTAAGACATAAAATAACAAGTACATGAGCAGATTTGGAAACCAGCCCAGCTGATCCTTGGTAAGCCCACTATGCAACTGGTGAGAGTAGCAGCAGTTAGGCCTATGAGCCGTGAGTCTTGAGTGGGCCATGGACGTTGGTTAGTACTCTACAAAGAGAATGGAGTATTTCAGTTCATTAGACCAGTGCGTCTACTGAAAGTACTTTGACCTTACTTCAAAGAAAGTAAGAAGGAAAATTGTAATATCAAACAAGTTTCCTTATGATATCATAGATAACTGGATAGACCTCTAAATATCATTCAACCTATCATTTTAGAGGTAATTTTTGCAGGTCATTTTGATTAAGAGATTCCTCCATGGTTGCACACTGAGGTTGTAGCTGTGTTGGTTTTAAAATTCAGACTCTTGTTATTCCAGGAACTTCTTCTCTACCTTCTACAATACTGTCCTCCAGATTACATTGTAATTTATGAAGTGGTCAATTGGAAAATAATTTTTCAAGAACTGCCAAGTTCTAAGCTGAATTACATAAGACATTGATGGGCTTTACAGCTGGAGTTAACTCACTGATCTGCAAGTGAGAGTGCTTGATAACATTTTTAGAAAAGTCCGGAATAACTTCTTGTTGTTCTGTGAAAAATTATAGCATGAATAATCAGCTATTTAAAGGTTCAGATGATTAGTGGTGAATATGAAAGGGAAGAAAAAAAGGCATGCTCCGTTTGCTTCAAAAGATTTTTCTTTGATGTTTTATTCTAAATCTTAGAGTGTAGATTACTTATCCCTTCTTTGGAAAATTGAAATGATCCAATATGCTCCATGTATAAGCTACATTTTCAAAGTAACTCTATTGTTAGTATCTCAAGGTACCATTTTGGACCCTAAAATACAGGTCATTTTCTTCCCAAAGAATATAAAGAATACTATTTGCATTTGGATCAGTTTTTTAATCTTTTGAAGACTGTTTTACACCAGTATAATAAAATACGCTTCTCTCTGCCAAATTCATGTATGTCTTATGAAATGTGTATATACGTTATTCATTTTATTGGCTGCATTTCATCTCAAGAGGAAAGAAAACATTGGATATAATCTATGAGAGAGTCAGTGAACTTGAAAATGGGATAGGAGTTTATGGTTTACCTGCCATTTGTTCTTCCCTCCTGATCCTTACATGGAGGAGGGTGTATAAACTTAGCTGTACTTAGACAGGGCAAGGAGAGAACTACTCAACACTGCAAGTCCAGCTAGCTTAAGCCTTCTGGTGGTAGATCTACTTAAGACTAGCAGTGTAAAGGCTACACAATTTTCCTTCATAGTTTAGAGTGTTGCCTGCTTTCATTGAGTTGCCTAGACTATTAGACTGTCGTTTCTCTAGCTACACGTTCAGATCTATAATCTGACTGACATTACTCAATTCTGCTCTAGCCTCACAGCTTCCTGAACCTTTCTTGACTTGCGTCTCCGCTTGCATCCTGCCCATTCTCTCATCTGTGGTGCCAACTCTCTCCTTTTCCTCTTTGCAAATCTTTTGATCCTTCAGCCCCTCATTTCTTTATCCTCAAAGCCTGTCCAGATTACTCTGACCTGTGCTGCTTTCCACTCCTCGGAACTCCTGTGGCTGGCTTTCTTGGATGCTCTGACATCTCATCACTTCATGGGTCTTTGTATTTTTTTTTGTACTGTGTGTCTAGGTGAGATTTTATCCATATTGCAAAAAAGTTTTACTGAGTAGTCTTGTGTTTTACCCATGTATTTGTTATGAATGGATACCGTCTCAGGCATTTGCAGAATTTATTTGGAGGTTAGCATTGCCTCTCATAGAAAAGATCGTTGAAAATTTCAAGCAGGAGGAAAAATGGAGAAGTTACTTAGTAACTTGTTTTTTTCCTTTTGGAGTCTAAATAGCTTGTCTTGGTGGAAAACTTATAAGTTAAAAGATTAATTAAACCACTGAAAATTGTTATCGTTTGTTTATCAGAGTTACCATGTCTGCCTAAATAAGCAGCATTAAATGCCGAAGAATAGTATTCTGAATTTTCAGGATCTTCTAGTTTTAGTCTTAGGTACATGTTTGGGGGTTGGTTGCATTTCCATTTTATTTCAGAAAGATATATATACATCTATGAATAATGTATATAATGTTAATATAGAATATATGTAGTGTTTATTAGATTCTCGTGTTTCTATATCTGCATGTTTTTTAAGCCAAGGCCTGGCCGACAACACTGTTATCGCTAAAGTGAATAAAGCTGTTTGGGACCTAGACCGCCCTCTGGAGGAAGACTGTACCTTGGAGCTGCTCAAGTTTGAGGATGAGGAAGCTCAAGCAGTAAGTTTTTATTCAGTGCATTGAATTTCAGGACGAAGCTTCACATCTGCAGTCTTTTCCAGCTCATTACTACTGCCAGTGGGAGGCTGAGGTTTATTAACGTCTCATTGTCATATTGAAGTCGTCATTTTGTCTTTCATTGGGGGAATGTAATAAAAGTGCTTGCCTTGTAAAATTGAGGTAAACTTGAGTAAATGTATTTTCACCACTAGATACATCAATGGGAAAAAAGTTCTCAGAATTTTCTTAAAAATTGATTAAGCAAGTGACAGTTTTTTCCTGCCCTATCAGTCAATTTAAGCAGTATGTATGTACAGTCGTGCATAGCTAAAGTTAGGGGTACATTCTGAGAAATACACTGTTAGGTGATTTCGTTGTTGTCTGAATGTCATAGAGTGTACTTATACAAACCTAGATGGAATGGCCTACTACACACCTGGGCTATCTGGTACTAATCTTCTGGGACCACCATCATATATGTGGTCTGTCATTGACAGAGACATCATCATACGGCACATGACTGTATTTAACAGATAAATTTGAACATTACTTTAAGTACTCCCCCTATCGGACAATTGATTTCCGTATTTTTCTCATCTTTAAATGCACATCTGCTGAAAACACTATAAAAATCAACCTACATTTGATGGGAAAGGTTTTTCTCTTTATTTCTCCATGATGTATACCATATAAGGGGAAATAAAATATTTTGTTTTATTGATGATACTTTATTTATGTATGTGAATCAGTGGTTTTCAAATGTATTCTGGATTCCTTAAGGTTTTTATGAGAATTTTAAAAATCATTTTGGTACCTTACTAATAAGTCTTAAAAATATTGCTTTGGGTATATTCTGACTTATTTGAATGAGCGCCTTAAAACCAAATACTGCCATTTGATTTCAGCATCCATATGTTAGTCCTTATGTTTTATAATTTGTTGTGGGGTCAAATTGTACCACTTTAGTTGTTTGGATCCAATAAGAGAAAAGCAGATGTAATTTTTAAGTGATGTTCCACAGCCAAGTAAAGGCCAGAGCACACACATGGGATATAGGGCACACTGGCTTACAAGACCCTGGGCCGTTGCAGTTAATAAGGCAGTCATATTGTGAGTAGTGATTGTTTTCAGGGAACAAAATCCATCCCATTTGATTAATGATACTAAGTTGAGTTTAACTAGTTTGAAAACAACTAAACCAGATGATTTCTAAGGTACAAATACAAGTTAGTAATTAGAATCCTTTTAAATTATTTTGGCTCTGAATAGAATCACATCACGGTTTATAGATTTCTAAATTTAGATTTTCATGTCTTTGGTTTATTTATAACAAATTTAATTTCTTTCAAAACAACCATATTGATTTACAACCTGTATGCCCAGGCTCAGACCATCCCATTTTTCTTTGAATTTTCAGGTATATTGGCATTCAAGTGCTCACATAATGGGTGAAGCCATGGAAAGAGTCTATGGTGGATGTTTATGTTATGGTCCACCAATAGAAAATGGATTCTATTATGACATGTACCTTGATGAAGGGTGAGTTATGTAACTGGGTAAAGAAAAATGAAATCTGAATTACAGTGGGTCCTGTCATTATTATTATTTTTTTTGTAAAGATTGGCACCTGAGCTAACAACTGTGGCCAATCTTTTTTTTTTTTTTTCCCTGCTTTTTCTCCTCAAATCCCCCCAGTATATAGTTGTATATTTTAGTTGTGGGTCCCTCCAGTTGCAGCATGTGGGACACTGCCCCAACATGGCTGGACAAGCAGTGCCATGTCTGCATCCAGGATCTGAACCAGTGAAACCCCGGGCTGCCCAAGTGCAGCGCGTGAACCCAACCACTCGGCCATGGGGCCAGTCCCACGTCATTATTTTTAAAGAGTTCTTGATAAGGGAGAAATGATGTAAAGTTTATTGCTTCATAGTCCCAAGTATTCCCACTATCAAAACTTGAAGTGTTGTAGTAACTTATGAACTAGTAGAGGCTTTAATGAGAGTTCTGTTATAGCTGGATGGAGGTGGAACCCCAAAGTATATTGGGAAATAAAATGAGGTTGGTCCTCTCCTCTCCTTTAAACTTGGTTATAGAATTGGAGGAAGGGTTCACTAGTGGGAACAGTCTCCATGCTCACCAAGGGAGAAGCCACAGCAAAGATAAAATATAAAAATAATTTATGAAAAATGTCTGGTTTAAAATTCTAATATATGATGCAAGGATGTAAATTTTTAATATTAAAACCTATTTAAGTATTTTAAAGAAACATTACTCCAAGCTAGATGTGAGTAGAATTGAATGGAAAAAGATGAATTATAGTTTCTTTTCCTTCAGGGGTGTGTCCAGCAATGATTTCTCTTCTTTGGAGGGTTTATGTAAGAAAATCATTAAAGAAAAACAAGCTTTTGAAAGATTGGAAGTTAAGAAGGAAACTTTATTGGAAATGTTTAAGGTAAACTGAGCTGTAACGTGTGGCCTCCACTTTTCCGTCACTCTTTAATGTCACTGGAGGTTGTCGTGTTGGGGTTTAGTGTACTAATTTCACGCCTCTTCTGTTCTTTAGGAAAATTGAACAATGTTTTTAAAACATGAAATATCAGCATTTATATTCATAGAATGCTTTGATAAGATGTACTTTGAGTTATAGTTTAGCTGTAGTATTTAGAGGTAAAAATTAAAAGAGGGTTTTCAAAAAAATAATTTTTCCTGTTTTCAGTACAACAAGTTCAAATGCCGGATATTGAATGAAAAAGTGAATACTCCAACTACCACAGTCTATAGGTGAGAATATCAAATGTCATTAAGTGTAACTGGTGTATATGTCATTTGAAGTCTTTGTTAAGATCCTTTTCATTTTTTATTTAGGTGTGGCCCCTTGATAGATCTCTGCCGGGGTCCTCATGTGAGACACACCGGCAAAATTAAGACTTTGAAAATACATAAAGTAAGCAATGTAACTCTAAAGACTCTCTCTATAAATATATTTGTCTAGGATAGATATATGTTTAAACTTTTATTGGTTTCTCTTTCTAACGTTTTTCTCTTGCATATGTAAGGGTGGATTTTTCTCTCCTGCTCTCTCTCGGCTATGGGTGCTGCGTAACCCTAGTTGTTTTTAGCCAATATTCTCTTAAGCGGTGACTGACCCGCCATTCATCGCCAGAGCACACAGGGATGGAGGTTTGGGGGATTGACAAAATCCTGCGGTCATGGGCCATCATGGCTCTACGAGCTTTGAAACTCACTGTTAGTGTGTGCGTTTGCCCTTAGTATGTCTAAGGTAATAATTACCCAACTTGTTCTTTTTAACCAAACCAATCCTGCCAATTTTATACTAGTTCATAAATATTTTATAGGTGATTATGAAAATGTACTTTAAATCATAAGAATAATTGAGTCATTTTAAGGTTTTTTTGTTGATTTATTTTTCATTTTTGCTTAATCACCTTGTGGAAGATGGCCTTGCAGACAGTCACATTCGTGGAGTTGTGGTTTGAGTGGGTATTGAGGGGTGGGCGTTTTTGAGGGAATTAATCAGCCAGCTTTGTGCTGCAGAATGAACACAACTATTGTAGCTGTGCCTCAGAGCGCCTGTGAGATGTCCACTAAGTGTGCATTATTTATGCTGTTTTTCTTGTCATAAAGACTGAGATGAATTTGACTCATAAAGTGACTGTGAGAAGTAACATCTAACTCTTAAAATAAGTGAGATACTTAGAAATGTGACTATCGTTTCATGGTTAATCCTTGTTTTCAGAATTCCTCCACATACTGGGAAGGCAAAGCAGACATGGAGACTCTGCAGAGAATTTATGGCATTTCATTCCCAGATCCTAAAATGTTGAAAGAATGGGAGAAGTTCCAAGAGGAAGCCAAAAACCGAGATCATAGGAAAATTGGGAGGGTATGTTAAAAAAGAATAGTAATGTGTCCAGACTGAGTTTTCTTTATTTTCATTTGAAATTTAGTTGTATTAAGTACTAGGAATTTCCTTTCAAAGAGATGGTGTAGCTTTCAAGTAATTATTGTACTGTAGCCTATAAAAGCTGTATATTATTGACTGATTGTCCACATTCTCTTTCTAGAGTGTGCTCGGTACTGCACAAAAATTCATTTTAACTGCTCCTTTTCTTGAGAACAAATGCTAATGAGCTACAGTTTTCTGTGAAAGAAGTCTAGCAGCATTCCATGGAGCTGCGAGATACTTTGGAAATGCCCTGGTCTCACTGACTTATTTTAAAGATGTGCAAGCTGAGTCCCAGAAAGACTAATTTATTTGTTGCCCAAAGTGACACAGCAGGTCACTGATGGATTCTATGATGTCATTTTCTTTATCCCTCTACCCCTGAATCTTTTCTAAGCTGGAAGTTAGGTTCGATAAAAGCATTCCTTTGTAAAATTGTGTTCACTCTGTGCCAAGCATCCTTGGCTGCCAGGTTATGAAGCCTGAGCAGGCAGCAGCGTCCACTGCCATGCTCCCTTGACTGCCTCAGATAAATGCTAGCCAGCAAGGATGGAAGCCAGCAAGGCTTGATGGGGCCCTTCCCTGAGGACTTGGGGCGTTTGGGGAGGTGGTGATGGGCAAGAGTGGAGGAGGGTGTGCTGCTTTCACCATGACCCAAAGTCAGCCAACTTCATCTCCACCTTCTATTTCATTATCAATGTCTCTTTCCTTCCTGCCACTCCTATTTAAAAAAAAGAAAAAGAGAAAGAAACAACACCCAGATATTGGAGCTTGAGGAGTTAAAACTATGAGAGCTCCATTGTGGCTAGCAGAAGAGAACTAAGACCCCTGCTCCATGTCACTTGTGGGTAAACTTGGCTGGATTCAGGAATGTAATAGGGCGACAACATACTTGTGCTAAGTTGTAAATCAGCTGTAATTCTATACCATTGAGTTGTACACCAGAAATGTTGACGTGTTTTCTTTGATTCGAGAATGCCACAAATTGAAATATGAGACATCAAGACCATATTCTGAACTCAACAACACTGAAATTTGTGTTCATGTTATATACATATATAAACATTCTGTTGCTTTTCTTTTACCCAGGACCAAGAACTGTATTTCTTCCATGAACTCAGCCCTGGAAGTTGCTTTTTCCTGCCGAAGGGAGCGTACATTTATAATACACTTATTGAATTCATCAGGGTAAACCATATTCATTATTTTCTTCTGTAGATTTAGGACATAAGTTGATTTTGTTAAACAAGGTCTACTAAAAGGAAAGATAATCTTGAATTTGAGAAGAAATCTTTTAAACAATAAATAAAAATGGAAGTCTGAGGTCTCATAAAATGTGTAAAAAATTCTTTCCTCCTATTGCATGATTTTGTCCATATACATGGGTGTGTATACAAGAGAAAAGCTGGTGAGCTTGAAGTAGGACCTCTAACCCTTTACACAGGAGCTTTGTGCACTCTTTGGCAGTTTATTTGTTTTTCCTTAAAAAAGCAAGGTAGTCTTTACATTGCTTTCTTTTCTTTGTAAATTATGAAGTGTTTCAAGCATATGTTTATAGAGAATAGTACCACCAACATCTGTGTACTCACCACCTAATTTAACACATATTTACACTAGGCTATACTTGCTTCAGATTTTTTATTGAAATAAAGTAATACATATGTAATAAGGGGGAAAAAGCTCCCTTTTGGGACCTGTTTGTGATCCATTACCCTCCTTTCATAGTAGAAGCTATTGTTTTGAAGTTAGCGTGGATCCTTTTTGTCCATGTTATTTTATATCTACTCCATATATATGTACTCTAAATTATTTATGTTCGTGTGCTTCAGATTTATACATAAGATGTCTCATTGTGTATCAGTCTGCATTGCGATTTATTTTTTAGGTATGTATAGATGCAGTTTGTTTTCACTTGTTAACATATTATTCTGTTATATAAGGAGCACAATATGCCCATTCCTTTATTGGTGGACACTGATGTAATTTCGAATTTTCCCATGTTACTAATTGTGCAGCGGTAGCATTGTTCTGACAAGTCTCCTGTGCACATGTGCAGGAGTTTTCTCTTTGGTATGTACCTCCAAGTGGAATTTCTAGATTATAACATGCATCTTGAACTTCACTACATAGTATAAAATTGCTCTTTAAATTTTTACTCCCACCAGAAGTATGACCTTTTATTTCCCTGTGCATGCATTGTGTTTGTTTTCTAACAGAGCGAGTATAGGAAACGAGGATTCCAGGAGGTGGTCACTCCAAACATCTACAACAGCCGACTCTGGATGACCTCAGGCCACTGGCAGCACTACAGTGAGAACATGTTCTCCTTTGAGGTGGAGAAGGAGCTGTTTGCTCTGAAACCCATGAACTGCCCAGGACACTGGTATTCAGCAGCTTTGAGTTTCTATCAAAGATTTCCCCTTGCTACCATTAGGGCTAGATTGCTTTCCCTCCTTTGAAAGAATTTTTGTTAAAAACAAATTGCGTAGTCAGAAGAGTATTTAAATGCAACATTATTGTTGGATTATTATGTCTTCTGTGCCCAACTAGATCCTCAGATCTCTAGAGGTTCAAGAATGTCCCTGGGGTAATAGCAGTGAGCAGGCAGAATATAAAACAGGGAGACTGAATGTGGGCAGAGCAAATTCTCTAGATTTTTTTAAAAGAAATGTGTTCTATCCAAACCTGCTAGTGCATTGACGTCCTTGGGAAATCTTTCTTGCCTCGAGGCTGCTCCACTTTCTATTCTTGAAAGCTGGGTGAAGAGCAGCTTGGGGGAGGACTAGGGAGAGCTGGGACTACCTATCTCAGCGTCTACAGCCTCTAGTAGCAAGGCCTCGAGGGCAGAGGAGGTGAGAGAGAGGATCCTCCATAAGGGCCTGGGCTGTAGGGCAGGGAGCCGAGCTCCTTCTTAGTTTTCCCAGATGCTTCAGTTTCTGAAGCACCTTCAGAATAACAGAGAACTGAAGCACTTTTGGGAGTGACAAGAAAGCCAGACTTTAATTTTCAGTGTTATAAATGATTTGTATGTGGCTAAGATTTTTTTTTAAATACAAGCCTTAAAGGCAGTCCTCAAACTAATGGAAATATTGAGCATAAGGATTTGACTCTAGACTTATGGGAATGAATGTTTATTCTCCCTTGGTTATGGATGGTTGTATTATAATTTATTTGCTGTTTTATTCATGCAAGTGCTTACATTGTTGTATGAAGCCAAGAATTTGAGAAGTGCTGCATGTATGGACAACCAGAATCAGTGGCTTTTTGATGGCCTTTCATACAATATTAGAGAAGCAGTTTTATTTTTGTCAAATTAAATGTCAATGCATTTTACCTTTCTTTTTTCTTCAGTCTTATGTTTGATCATCGGCCAAGATCCTGGCGAGAGTTGCCTCTGCGGATGGCCGATTTTGGGGTACTCCATAGGAATGAGCTGTCGGGAGCGCTCACAGGACTCACGCGGGTACGAAGATTCCAGCAGGATGATGCTCACATCTTCTGTGCCATTGAGCAGGTATGAGACTCGGTGCCATAATACACTTTGAAAAAAGTGTCAAGACAGTTAAGGAAAATTACCACTGTGTCCTTTTTTTTAATTTCAAGATTGAGGACGAAATAAAAGGTTGTTTGGACTTTCTGCGTACAGTATATAGCGTGTTTGGATTTTCTTTTAAACTGAACCTGTCTACTCGCCCGGAAAAATTCCTTGGAGATATTGAAGTATGGAATCAAGCTGAGAAAGTAAGTGGTTTTTTTCAGCGTGCTTAAATACTATTTGACTGAAATTGGCTTGTTCCACTGTCTGAGAAAGCCAAGCCTCTTTAAATGGATAAAAGAAAGAGGGGCTGGCCCAGTGGTGTAGTGGTTAAGTTCATGTGCTCCGCTTTTGCCTCCCAGGGCTCGTGGGTTCGGATCCCAGGCAAGGACCTACCCACTGCTCATCAAGCCATGCTGTGGCGGTGTCCCACATACAAAGTAGAGGAAGAGCAGCACAGATGTTAGCTCAGGGCCAGTCTTGCTCACCAAAAAAAAAGAAGCACAAGAGAAAATTGGAAATGGTTCCTAGGTTTTTTTGGTATGATTTTGTATTTTAGAAATGGTTGGAGATTTTTTTGTCATCAAGCTGTAACATTTAAAAGGGGGGAAATTGGAGGAAGGTGTTCAAAAGGTACAAACTTTCAGTTATCAGATAAATAGGTGCTAGGGATGTAATGTACAACATGGTGACTGTCGCTAACACTGCAATAGGATATATAGGAAAGTTGTGAAGAGATTAAATCCTGAGAGTTCTCATTACAGGGAGAAAATTTACTTTTCTTCTTTCTGTTGTATCTGTATGAGATGGTGGGTGTTAGCCGAACCTATTGCGGTAGTCATTTCACAGTGTATGTAAATCACAGCATCGTGCTGTACACCTTAAACTTGCGCAGTGATGTGCATCAGTTATTTCTCAATAAAACTGGAAAAAAAGAGGAAGGGTTGTGTATAAGCGTGTTTAGGTGGACAAAATTCTAAAGCAGAGATTAGTGACCCATGAAAGTAATTACAGTATTTTTAGTCTCAAATTAGGCTGGAAGAAGGGAAGTTGCAGATTGAACAAAAATAAGAATTCATTTTACTTTATCCTTAGCAACTTGAAAACAGTCTGAATGAATTTGGCGAAAAGTGGGTATTAAACCCTGGAGATGGAGCTTTCTATGGTCCAAAGGTCAGTACCAAAGTATATTTGAATAATATGATTTTTATTTGGGGGTGAAGAAGAGATTACTTTAAAAAAAATTTTTTTTAAAAAGGAAAAACGGCCCTAAAATAACTATTGAGTTCAACTTTAATATAGACAGCATCTTGTAATAACCCAATCTTTGCTTCGTAGATTGACATACAGATTAAAGATGCAATTGGTCGGTACCACCAGTGTGCAACAATCCAGTTGGATTTTCAGTTACCCATCAGATTTAATCTTACTTTTGTAAGGTGAGTTTCTAGTATCTGCTCTGAATACTCTTCAGGGACATATAAAGGAATATATATATATAAATAAAATAAAGCAAAACAAATTCTTCTTTTCCTTTCTAGCCATGATGGTGATGATAAGAAAAGGCCAGTGATTGTCCATAGAGCCATCTTGGGGTCAGTGGAAAGAATGATTGCTATCCTCACTGAAAACTATGGAGGAAAATGGTAATTTTTGTCATTGTTTTCTTCTGTCATTGTTTTTGTCTAGACAATGTAAGTTGACTAGAAGAAATGTCCACTGTCCAATTTAGTTAGGCAATGGAAAGGGAGAATGATTCCAATTAGTCACTTCCAGTTAATGACAAGCGTTCACTAAAAAGTAAGGAATTACCATCTAAACTCAAATTTTTTTGAGCTTTAAGAATATTTATTATTAGTACTTATTTTTATTTGAGAACTTGATTTGTTTGAATGTTATATAATACTTTCTAATTAGGAATTATTATGCAGTAAGAAGCATACTTGTTATTCTGATTGCTTTTCAAGTAACTTTGTTTTGGGATTAATATGATTTTGAAGTTTTTGTCTGAGTAAACAAAAGTAGGCTTTTGGCTTACCTTGTTCAATATTGCCGATCATAATAAGCAAGTTTGACATCCTTTAGAAGGCAAGTTTTAAATTGAAAGTACAGACTCCAAACTGATCAACATTTTATGCTTGTTTCTATAAAGTTATGTTTTTGCTAGCAAGATGTGAGCGCGTGACTTCCATTTTATTTTTTAAGCAGTTTTCTCTGGGCCCACAATTTGTAAAGGCAGTTGAAAGTAGCACCAGGTTATAAAACACTCATTTTGTAGAGTCTGCCAGTATTAATTGTATTGATGCAAAACTGTTATAAATCTCTTTTATCTTATACATTGCAGTCATTTCAGTTTTATTTGTAATTTGGTTAGTTTAGACATTAGGGGAGTTAGTCATACTTGTCAGTGAAATAAGATCATCTCTTTTCAGTTATATTTCACAAAATCAAATATGGGAAGCAGTCTCTTCATGGCATTTAGAGAACAGGAGTATCCTCAGCTAGTTTAATTGTTCTTCCAAACCTAGGTGGGAAAAAGCCCACAATTCAAGAAGAATTTAGTGCCTGCTCCAGCCTCTTCCCTGATGTAACAGAACAACTGAAATCAGAGGGGTGATCAGGAGAAACACAGATCTGATGTCTGGAGCATAGGATGGGCTTGGCACCTGAAATACTCCAAAGGGAGAATTATAGACTGTCATTTTTTAATAAGATGTGAAAACACACTCATTTTTATCAAATAACCATCATTAGTTACTATCAGTGACAGTTTGCTGAATCCTGCCAAATGGATCTTGAATAAACGGAAGGCGTAGTCTGTGTCCCCCATGAAGAATAAGTAATAAAATAACGCCTGAACAGTGAATCACCAGGTGTAGTTCTCTAACAATTTGTTGCCCCCTCTGGCAGTCATGGTATTCTGTTAACTGATGGTCCCTGCCCCAAGTTTGCTTTGCCATGAGTTTAGCAAGACAAATCTCAGTTACAGATTTTCCTGATCTAAGCTTAGTTTTCTGCTCCTGAATCTCCTCCCTTTAGTCTTTATCAGATGTTGAAAAAAAGCCAAGTTTTTAAAGTGGATCTTACATGTTTCAGGAAAAGATATTGAAGAGTAAACTGAGAAATGAGCGATCCTTGTTTAGGGAAGTGCCCAAATCCACCTTAAATATTTATAATTTCTTCTAAAGGCCCTTCTGGCTGTCTCCTCGCCAAGTAATGGTAGTTCCAGTGGGACCAACATGTGATGAATATGCCCAAAAGGTAATCCTTAAATATGACTTTTCTTTACATTTAATCTGTTGTTCAGGTTTTCAAATCTCAGAAGCTGTGTACGCTCTTGGTAAATGAAGCTGCTTGTGATACAGAGAAATGTTACTATTTTCAATCTGTGATCAGCCTGAATAGATTATATTATCTGTTTAATAATTTTCTGTGTGGCGCCATGAGCAGAAGACATAATTTGGATAGTGTTTTGTGTACACTGGTATATTTTAGTGTTTAATATTAGCAATAGCGAATGCCTCAGTATAATATGTAAATTTAAATGCATAATATAGCTTAAGCTACTCTTCGACTCAAAGAGTAATTTTGCTTCATTTCTAATGCAGATTTCTTCAACTATTTGAAACTTTTTTTCAGGTTAATGGCACGCCAAACCAATGTTTTTCCCTACCCACCAAAAAACTACCTTACTAACAGATGTATACACATCTGTTCATACTTCACACCTTAAACACTACAGTAGTCTGTTCTGTTAAAGCAACAATTCCGTACTGAGGAATTTCAAATTATTAAAAATTGTGTTATAAAAAAGCATTGTTTCATAATTTCAAACTAAAAGTAATCAATTGGTTAGTTAAAACAGACAAAATCTAAATATTGGTGAACAATACTGTCACATCAAAACCATCATGTTGGGGCCAACCACATGGCCGAGTGGTGAAGTTCACGCACTCTGCTTCAGGGGCCCAGGGTTTTGCTGGTTCGGATTCTGGGCAAGGACATGGCACCGCTCATCAGGCCACACTGAGGCAGCATCCCACACAGCACAACCAGAGGCACTCACAACTAGAATATACAACTACGTACTGGGGGACTTTGGGGAGAAAAAGAAGAGGAAAAAAAGAAGATTGGCAACAGATGTTAGCTCAGGTGCCAATCTTTAAAAAAAAAACCATCATGTTTCCAGATCACCAGATTAAATTAGACTCAGGTCTTAACTCTTTAAGAAATAAATGAACATTGAACCAGCTGATAAGCAAACTGTTCAGACATAATGTAGTCCTATGACTGCACAGAGTGCTTTTAGTTATAAATGATGAGAATCAGTTATGTCCCATGGTTAATTGATTGCACTTTATCTTACCTGCATGATGAAAGCTCATGCAGCGGGAGAAAGGTCTGTATTAGTTAACTCATTTCTCAGCTGGAGACAGTACCGACTTCCTTCCATACGGGGGTGTGGTGGCATTTGGAATTATGCAGGGATGGAGTTTTTATTTTGGGAGGTTTTTGATTCTATTAAGTGGAGGAGAGGTGGGCTCTATGACTGGAAATCGAGGTATTAAACAGCCTGCAGTTAGTTGTTGGGCCGCTTCCCCAATTGCAGAATAGCCCAACCCGCATGCACACAGGGCCCGTGTTAAGAAACTAAAACACCGGTGCTTTATTCTTCAAATAGATTACAGTTGAAAGTGTAGTCTTATCCTGGCACTCCAATAAACTATGTAAGAACCCTTCTGAAATTTGCATACTTACAAAATCCCAATCCCAACAGGTGCAGTGTAGTGATCACTAAGGAATAACAACCTATTAGTGAAATGGAAATGGTTTATTCAGATCAGATCTTTTTATCATATCAGTGGTAACTGGTTGTCAATGTAGATGGAAAATTTAATCTAGTTTATTTAATCTAATTTCCGATTAATAAAATTTAGTGTTGCTTTTTTTGGAAAGGAAAAATACTGAAAACATTGTTTACTTTTTTCTTTTTTTTAAAGATTGGTGCCTGAGCTAACATCTGTTGCCAATCCTTTATTTTTCTTCTTCTCCCTCCCAAAGTCCCCCAATACTTAGTTGTATATACTAGTTGCAGGTCCTTGTAGTTGTGCTACATGCAACACTGCTTCAGCATGGCTTAATGAGCAGTGCTAGATCCGAACTGGCAAAACCCTGGGCCACAAAAGTGGAGCACGCAAGCTTAACCACTTGGCCATGGGGCTGGGCCTTTTTTTTTTTTTTTTTTTTGGTGGTGAAGATTGGCCCTGAGCTAACGTCTGTTGCCAGTCTTCCTCTATTTTATGTGGGACGCTGCCACAGTGTGGCCTGATGATCAGTGTTAGGTCTACGCCAGGGATCTGAACCTGTGAACCCCAGGCCGCTGAAGCAGAGCTTGCCAACTTAACCACTACACCACCAGGCCAGTCCCAACATGGTTTATTTAGTACACCAAGACTTAAGACAATGAAGTGGAACTGTATTTTTGAGGGGGGAAAAAAAAAGGCAGAGAATAATAATATCTAATATAGTTTTTCAGCTTTAAATTCCTGGAAGTTTATTTCACTAAATCTCCGATTTGTTTTTTGGCTCTAACACCTTCATCTGCCTCCATTTAATAAGCTTTCTTTTAATCAAAAAGGAAACCACTGTTCAGAAAGGAAAAAATTATTTTAATATTTCTTAAATTTGATGTTTTATTTTACTTAAATTATTCTTGTAGAGTTCTATTTCATTAGGTCGTATACACAGACTTATTAAAGAAATAGTGTTGGAAGACAATTTTATATGGCGGTTTGTATTCTATTCTCTAAAAACATGAAAGAAGCTCTTGTGATGCTTTTAGCCTGTTGTTTGTGCTATGAACATTTTATTTTCAAAAATGTTGCACACAAATGGCAGCAATGGGTGGATTCTTGTTACCAACTTGCTGGCTATTGGAGGGATCAGAAATACTATTTTCTCTGTTAGACTGGACATCCATTATTGGATGTAATATGGAGACTGATAAATAGTTTGTTTCCTGACAACCATATAGGGAATTTAAGACACATTTGCAAAAGGCTTTCTTTCCTTTTGTAACGCGTTTTAAGAAATCTGATTAAGTTTAGCTGATTGCCTGAATTCTGATATTTAAGGGTTTTCTAAAACATTTCTCTCTCAAGAGCAAAATGTGTTGTTTTGATTTTTGAAAATGTAGTCTCAAGTCAAAAATTAATAATATATGCCTCAATATATCTATTAGAATTTCTTTTTTAATGCTTGCATGATTATCCAAATCATATGTTAAATAAAATCATTTAAGATCGAAATATAATTCTGACTTTAGATTGAGAAGTTCTTTATCTCTGTTGAAATAGGTCCGGCAGCAGTTCCATGATGCTAAATTCATGGTGGACGTTGATCTGGACCCGGGCTGTACGTTAAATAAGAAGATCAGAAACGCACAGTTAGCGCAATATAACTTCATCCTAGGTAAGAAGGAGACTTGCCAAAGAAAATCTTCCAAACCTTAGGAAAACACCAAAATCTTAAGACTTGTAATTAAGAGAATTGTGGTCATCAATACCTTCTAATCCTGATTCTTAAACTATTAAGTTTGTTCAGTTGATAAAGGAAAATTTTGATGTGAAAAAGAATAATTTTTAAAGGTTTGTCTACAAATCTTCTCCCTTCACCCCCTATTTCTTTATACGTTAAGTTTTTATTAAGTTGGCTGGATTAAGTGACTCAGTAAGCACAGCAGTTTTAGGCATTCAAAGTGGTTTATTTTATTAGTTTTTAAATGAATAGATGTTTTAAATTGGTTGTCTAACTATACATGGTCACCTGTATATTTTAATGAATTAGAAGCTACAGGGTGGCTTTTGGGTCCTCGGATCATTTCTGTTTGAATGTTTACTAGGAGTCCTTTCCCCTTACAGAGTTTTGTGTCTTTTGTTTTAGTTGTCGGTGAAAAAGAGAAAACCAGCGGCACTGTTAATATCCGTACGCGAGACAACAAGGTACATGGAGAACGTACTCTCTCTGAAACCATCGAGCGGCTACAGCAGCTCAAGCAGTCCCGCAGCAAACAGGCAGAGGAAGAATTTTAACCACAAACTTTGCCGGATTGGCTTAGTAGAAAAGCATGAACGATGTTTCCCTAACAGTAACTTTGTACTCGGAAAACATCCATTTATACCGAACCGCAAAGTTTGGTAGAGGCTGCGTAGGTGACTGCAGGATCAGCCTTTTTAACCTAGACAGGTTTTAGACAATGTGTTATTTGAAAGAGGTAATTAAAAGAGACACAGTAAAATGATTTTATTCATTAAATATCTGAGCACTGGAAATAAAACATGAGGAACGCTTTCATGTAATGTGGGAAAATGTTTTTGTAAATTTAATGCAGTTGAAAAATAAAATTTTTCAGATTTGGTTAAGGTAAAAGAAAGATTAGCATTGGATTATGGTGTAAAAATAAAAACTTCCATTCACAAAAGTTTCAACTGCTCTGTCCTTCACATATATACACGCCTGCCCAGGATAAATTGTGTGATTCAATGTTTACCTTTAATGTTTTATAACAAATATGATGTAAGTTGGGTGGAGGGGGCAAATCTCCAGTGATGCTGGTCTCAATCTGGGTTATGAGCTAGGTGCCAGCTTCTCAGTTGCAGGATGACATCTTTAGGAGTGTCACTTAACTTCTATTTGGATGTAAACCAATTAAAACCAACCATGGATCTAATAGAGAGTAGATTTGCACAAATTTTTAAGATGAAGCATGAGTCTTCTAAGAAATAGATGTTTATGGCAGACTACTCTGGGCCATCGAATCCATCGTTATACAAATTTTCTATTCTCTCATAAGGGATAATTTTTAAATTTTTCTACCAGTGAATAGTGATTGGGAGAACACCACAAAATAGGGAATTCCTTATATGGATATATATTAATTCCTCTTTAATGTAATCATTTAAAAAGGCAACGTCTGGTCAGTTCTTTAATAACCCCAATAGCTCATTTGCTAGGGTCACTTCAAGGTGAAGTCGATTTGCATAGATTAATGCACACTTTAATAAAGGAGTTAAGAGCTTTAATCAGAGGGATTATTTTTGAAACTTTATAATTAAGTCTTGCTTATGGCCGTCTTAAGACGTAGCCTCTGATAGATCTGTAATTCACTTTTATATGCACCTGAAGGGGAACTAATTTTATATTTGAACCAGAACTTTGCCTTCTCAAGTCATGACAGCAAAAACTTTTTGATTCATTTTAGAACAATGTATTTGCTTTTTATTTCTTTAATCTAAAATTCAATGTCTTAGTTTTGATTTTTCTTCAGTTTTAAAAAATTCATATCACAGAACCATTTAAAACAGTTTCCATAATATATAGGCTGAAGACCAACTATGGTTCAGCTAGATGTTTTCGGTACCTGTTTTACACTTCAACAGATGTTTATGTAATATATGAATAATTTCCCTGAAATATTTAGAGAAGCTTTATAAATCTTCTAAAACTTAAGATATAAAAGTCTAGTTAAGACATAGGTTGGCAGGACTGAGAATCAAAGAATCCTCTTTGTAACTGACACCTTCCTGTGGGAGCATGAGGGGACCACCCTCTGAGAGCTCTTATTTTATTGGCTTATCCCATCAAAGCTCTTATGTCTGTAGTTAGTTTGTTTGATTTTGTTTTTCCTTCTCTTTCCTGGAGGGCAGAGACTGTTGTATTTATTGTTGTATCCATCTGTTCTGTTGTGGCATATAACTTGAAGAATTGAAGGAACCCAATTGCTAAACTTTTATCCAGCATCTAGTCTATTGAGAGTTACATGATCTTGGTAATCAAATATACCGAAACAGTTCCAGAACAATGACAGCACCGTTGCAAACACCACATGACAAATATCTGTAGACAGATTTTCTGACTAACGTTACTCAATTCTGCCTTTAAAAAAAGTCGAAGAGTAGTAAAAGGTTTATAAGGAAACCAACCTCTTGTCCTGTTGACCCTGATCTGATTCGCACTCCCCAGGTGACCACTTTTAGCCATGCTGGTTTGTGCCTCTGTCCCTGTTTGTAAATACCATTGCTCTCGATTCCCCACTTTTAGAACCTCTCTATTGACTTACTGTTTCAGAAGATGAGGATTTTAGTTCACACCCCATCATTTCCTGCCTCCATCCTTCTACTATGATCTCAATTTTTTGTTAAATCCATATTAGGTGTTATTGTTACTGTGTCCATAAATACTATGCTTTAATAAACCAAATAGTATTCTATTATTACATTTGTTCTAGTACAACTTTGTTTTACTGGACTTAATAACTCTTTGTTTTAAAATGTTTTCTTTGATTATTTGACTTGAATAGCTCTGTTTTATACCTGTCATTACAATTTTCCCGAAAGTTAAATCTTTTTTCTAGCTTTATTGAGATATTATTGACATATATGTAAGTTTGAGGTGTACAATGTGATGATTTGATACACGTATATATTGCAAAATGATTACCAAATAAGGTTAGTTAACATCTCCATCCACTCACATAATTACCATCCAAAACTCAAATCTGACAGACAATTCAATAGTTCCATTTGTCTTCCAAGACAAATCCCTTCTAGAATCATCCATCTCCTCCAATCTTGGCTCATGGCAGCCCCCCTACCCCCACCTCTCTAACGTGTTCGGTCCTCTTTCCCAGCTTCCAAGTCTTCCTTTTTCTTGGTTCACTACTTTGTGTCGGTAGACAGGGTTTTCCAGTTGCTTTTCAAAGAAAGATGCATGGGGTTAGGTATAGAATTCTTAGTTGAAAATACATTTTTTTCTCAGAATTTGGAAGACATTGCTCCCATTTTCCTCTGCCTCTAGTGTTTCTATGAAGAATTCATCTTCCCATTCCTTTGTGTGTCACCTGTCATTTTTTTCTCTGAAAAGTTTAGATCTCTTTTCTTTAGCCTTATTGTTCTGAAATTTCATGATGACGGTGTAGGACTTTTGCCTCCAATCGTGGTGAGAGGAAGATTGGCACAGATGTTAGCTCAGCCAAGACCAAAAAAATTAATTAAGTTAAAAATAAAAATTTTAAAAAATATTTCAACTATTACTTTTTTAGTTTTCAAGGGTTCTACCTTGTTCTTATCCTAATTCCTTATGTTATAGCATTCTGGAGGGGTCATTAAGGTTCTTTAGAGAACTTTCTTCCAGTCTCCTTGCAAGGTAAGCCTGTGGCTTTTTGGTGTTGCGTTCATGAAGGGGGCTTGGAAGGAAAAGTCTTATCGTTCAGTATGCAGACTTTCACTTACTCTTCCCATGTCCAGAACAGCACCCCATCCTCATCCTCCCCTGACTCTGGTGTCCCAGAAGGCTGCAGTGCTTCTCTGGAGAATAAACCCAACAGTCTTCTGGGAGGGGGCAGGATGGAGCATCCACATGACTGCACAGGGTAGGGATGCAGACAGGGATCTAATTGGTCTTTATGCAGACTTTCAAACAATGCTCTTATATTTAGTCCCCTTTCTTCCGTTGTACCTGATGTCTCTAATTCCTGAGGCTTCCTGGGTTTTCCAGGGCAAATAGTCTTGCTACTCCTACCCTTTTCAAACACTTAAATTTGACCTTCCTTCTCTCTGCTGCATCACTTGCCAATGCCCCATTCACTTTCCATCTTCAGATGTCGTGGTTTAGGGTTATAGATGCCTCCTGCTAAGTCAGACTGCTAATGGTCCAACTTCTTACTTCCTGAACTCTGATTTTGTTGAGGAAGTCAGTGTGCTCTCCTTAAGATGCTCAGCTTCCCAGAGCTTTTCACTAGGAGCACTCATGAGATGGATCTGGCCAATGAGATAAGAGTGGAAGTCCTTGGGTGGGGCTTCTTGGAAAGCTTGCTAAAGAGAACAAACTTTTACCCTTTCCCTGCACTTTGTATCAGTTCTTTCTTCCTCTTTCTGCTTGGAAGGCAATCTGGCAGCCATCTTGCACCCATGAGAGGCCCATGCGAATGGACACCACCTGTTAACAGTGGAGAACAGAGTGATAGAAAGAGCTTAAATCATTGTTCATATAGTGGATCTGCTGAACCAGCCTAGACTGCCAAACTCTGGATTTCTTGTACGAAAGAAATAAGTTCCCATTCGATTAATACTATGGTCACATTTCTGGTGCATTATAGCCAAAGAAATTCCCAACTCATACACTTCATTTCATCAGATATGGACATTTGCTTTTGTCTTTGTTTCGAGCTCATTTTTAAGCTAACAAGATTGAAAGTTCTCTGTCATTTCTGTCTACTTTTGGATCTCACAAAGTCTAGTTTTTTAATTCCTTTTATTTTTTCCCCCCTGCCCTAGGCCATCTTTTGCTTCTCTTCCTCACTAAGCTTTGACTTCCATGGCTGATCACTCAAATCCTCTTTTACCAACACTCAATTTTCACGCATCCTTGTTCTGCTTGACCTATTGGACAAATACTCAACTTTTCTCCAATCCTACAGCCAAGAGACTGAGCACTGTTAGAAAAAAGTATAGAACTTTAAGAATTAGTGCCACTTCCAATTCATGATCTCCAACCTCAGCTCACAATAATTTATCCCCATGTGTAGTTTCTTTATCCAGCCCCTCAGTAACTATGACTACTTTCTTCAAATCTCCTACATCTCTACCAGAATAAATATATCTAAGAGCCTATAGAAAGCATATTACTTTATATTTTAAAATGTCACGTCACACTTCATCTATCCCCCTCACTCTCAGCAGACTACTAGCTCTCTTCCTACTTCATTAAATCTAGAAACCTATATTGGTGCTTCCCTCCAGTGAATGAGGTCTTCTTCCTCCTTTTAAGGACAACCATTCTACTGGAGCTCTTGGTCCCATGGGAGAGAGTGTGGTATAGAGGCAAAGCTATGAGCTTTGGAACCAGACAGTTGGGTTAATATGCTAACTCTGTCACTTACCAGTTAGGTGAATTTGTTTAATTTCTCTGAGTCTCTTTTTTTAATCCATAAAATGTAGATAATACCTCTTTCACGGAATTGTTGTGAGGAGTCAATGAGTTTTATATGTAATGTAAGAAAAGAAATGTTATTCTCATCTGCCCCGATACTTTGCTCCAACAGCTATCCCCTCCATATCATCTTCTCCCCTAATTGCCTTCTACCTATTGACCACAAAGCACCATCTTTTCTATTCCACTGTATTCTATGTCCTTGAGTATTCTGACTTCAGCTCCCTCTACACCATTCAAATGGTGCTTCCCAGAGACCAAAGATCCTCTATATTGCATTTGACAACTCTCAGGAATTCATGTGTTCAGAGGGGAAAAAAAACACGCTTGAGATCCAGCCATGGAACTAGTGCTGTATTAGGCAGTGAGCAAGGCAGAGAAGATCCATGCCCTAATGGAGTTTACAGTCTAGCAAGAGAGGAAGAAATCAAATACTTACAATCCTGATGCCTATTATGAAGAAGGGAGAATTCGAATGATGGAAGCATATAT